CCTCTAGAGTACCCAAAAGTTACTACAACTACAACTCTACAAATCTTTAGAAGCTGCTTATAATTAAATATTAAACCTGCATATTAATTATTATTATTATGAAGATAAATTATTGGTATCGCAGAAAATGAACATAATGTTTTTATACCTAGTCAAAAAATTCAATCCTTTACAATGAAAATAAAACCTATTATTGACCGTCAATATATAATATACAATAATAATATCCCGTAACCTATGCTAATTATATATTTACTTTTACTTTTATTAATATAAAAAACTTATAATATCTCATAAAATCTCTTGACTTAAACATGCTTCTAATCTCAGGAAAATGATGTTTTGATTTTTGTCTTTATTCAACTTTTTATTTATTTTTTATCTTTCTAAAATTTATAACATATTTTTATTCTTATAAAATGAATAAATTTAAAGTTTGATTCCTGTAAGATGTTTATTTATTTTTTTACATTTTCATTCTTCTAAGATCTAAATAATCATTTTAGTCTCTAATGATTATTTTAATATAGATAAATAATATTTAAAATTAAATATGTTTTTCATTTCTAAAATTTTGGCAATTTTTATTTTTAATCTCTAAATTAATTTTTTACTAATTTTAATTTTAAACTTTTTCTTTTTGTCGATTTTCACTTTAAGGCCTTAAACTTATTTCCTGTTAACATTTTGATCTCTAACTTGAAATTTTAGTTCACTTAAAAAAAATTTAAGAATTAAAACCAAATCAAATTTGTTCAGAAATTAAAATAAAAAATTAATAAAAATTTAGAGTCTAAAAATATATGAAATCTTAACATTTATTTTAAGGTTCTATAAAAGAAATTTAAAGATATCAAATACCGTCAAGATATCACTAATAATTGTGGATAATGTTTAGAATGAACATTTAACCTTTTAATAAATTAAAAATACTCACATAAAAAATAAAAATTAGACAATAATTTTAATTTTAAAAAATAATTTTTTTAAGGATCAAATCAAAATTTACTAATTTTGTAGAAATCAAAAATATATTTAAACTATACTTTTTAACAATGAAAGTATTTTGATATAAAAGAAAACATCATGATTACGAGTAAATATTAACACTATGCATTCTTTAGTATGTTTGTCTACTAATTTCCTGCTACAACATAAAAAAAAAAGTATAAGTACTCAAAATGTACATAATTTTCACACAATTATTTATGGATTACTCGTGTTTTTAGCCCTCATAAATTTATAATAATTTATTTTTAATCTCTCAAATTTAAAATTATTATTTTTTATTTTTATAATTTTTAAAAAATTTATTTTAATCTTTTAGGTTATCAATAATATATTTGAAGTGATAGTGACAGATTGAGACAGTTATATGCATCATCAAGTAGATTTAATGTGATATTTTCACTAATAAAAATACTAGTAGATATATTTTATTTAATAGTATTTGATAATTTTTTTAACAAAATTTTAACTATAGGGATTAAAACAATTTTTTTTTTAAATTATAGGGACTAAAAAATAATTTTTAAATTTGAGGAATTAAAAATAAATTTATCTTAAATTTGAGATATTAAAATCATATTTAACCCATTATTTATTTAAACTAAATTATTATTGATGTGAAATATCTACTTGCGATTGACAATAACTAAGAGCAACTCCAATGGGAGTTGCTTGTCCCATGAAACAACTCAAGTCCCGGTTTCTTACCATTGGAGGACTCTGACGTAGCAACATGAGTTGCTTGAAGAAGAGAGAGAGTTGCTTCCTCAAGCAACCGTTTCTTACCAGATTTCAAGCAGATCTTATTGAACATATTTGGAAACGTTTTGGAAATAATAATGATAAAAATTAATTTCGTATAATATTTATGTTTTTACTATTGTCTTATTTTATTTTTAATATCTACTTATTGTTTAATTTTTCTCGTAATTTATTTTCTTTTATTATTGTAGTGCAATTATCCTTTTTAATAAAAAAATTAAATTTGGTTCATAAATGATTAGAAAAAAATTCTAAAAGTTGAATTTCTTAAAATTTCTTACTATTGAAATAAATTTATGTTTGAATTGCTTAATGCTGATATAACACACTGGGGACCACTTTCATTTTTCAATGCATGAAGCAACTCAAATGAGTTGCTTCCATTGGAGATGTCCTAATTTCTGTCAAGAAATATGATTAACCAATTTTAGGATTAATTTTTTTCTCAACTACATTTTTTCTTTATCTAAAGAACTCAAATTCAAGATTTTATTTAAGATATCTGAGTTTAATTTCACTCAAATCAATAACTTTAATTTTATATTATTATTTAATGACAAAATTATAATGTATGATAAGTTTTAATTTTTTATAATAATTATTTTAAGGGCTACACTAATGATTTTTTATTATTAAGTATATATAACAAATTTATTAACTTTTACAATAATTATTTTAAAAATTATATTAATGATAATTATTTTATTAGTAAATAATATGACATTATTTACACCTGTTAATTCAATGCGTTAATTTTTGTGTTTCATTGTTTTGTGATGACTTATAATTTATAAATGGATAGTATATATATGTTTTTCAAAAGACCTAATAATAAAAATATTTTTATTATTAACTGTTTTAAAAAAAAAACACATTTAATTGGGTTAATTTGTACAGTGAATAAGTTAGATTACCTTATTTACCCTTATGATTCAGTATAGGTTGGTACAAAATTTATTTCACAGTCCTCAACAACTCATTCACTTTTGAAAAGTCTAAGCAAGCAAGCAGCAAGTCTATCTTTAATAAATGTTTTGGCTCCAATTATGGGCATATGAACAAAAATTGGCACTTCAATGCAACACTTCAGAAATGCCAATGCCCATTGACATTGATATCATAAAATTAGTTCCGCTTGAGATGTCAAACAAAAGAAACAAGAGTTATTATTCATATAACTCCGTGCCCTCCTAGAATTATTTTAAAAAATAATAATAATAAATTATATAATAATTAATGATTATTAAAAATATAGGCAATTGTGGAATAAATTTATAAAATAAAAAAAATTATAAAAGATAATTATTTAAAAAATGTGAACATTAAATGAAACAATCCACTTTATTAATTAATAGTATGAATTACACAAATTCAAAGAAATAAAGTTATCTGTACTAGCTATAACATCATACTTCTCTCTCTCCCTTGTTGATACCTTCACTCATTTTTACTCTTTGATCCAGTTGTCTGTCCTCGTTGAAGGGAGTGCACTGGCAAAAGACATTCGAATACTCAAATAAGTTACTCTTTCGATGTATTATATGTGAATAATGAATAGTAATTTTATCTTGAGATACAAGCTATTTATATCGATCATAATGAGTCTTGATCTAAATGGGTCGCGACCTAAGATTATCAATTTGACATATTTGATTTCGCACTAATGATTAAGCTCTAATTACCTTTATCATCATAATTTAATATATGAGTTTTAGATGTCATTCTGCCTTGTCAATTATTGAAAGGGCCAAATGAGATTAGTTGGATTAACATTCTTATTTGCACAAACCACTCGATCACTAAGGGTATTAAAGGGAGGAGTTGAGCTTGATTGCACAATCTCTTCGACTATCAAGGGTGTCAAAGGGATTGATTAAAGAATTTGATCATGTGATCCCTTTGACAACCAAATGTGTTGAAAGGGGGTCGAAGTTGTTCATATGATCGAGAATACCAAAAAGATGGATCAAGGAGTTTAATCATGTGATCCCTTTGACTACTGACAGTGTCGAAGGATTCTGGACTTGTTGGTTTCTAGCGATTGAATAGCCTATCTAATATACATCTCAAGTTATCACCCTTTGTATTTTGCTTTCATCTCTTTGTCTCTCTCTAAGATTCTTAGGATTGAATTTATGAAATTCAATTATATCTCTTTTCTTAGAGTCAAACTAGATCTCTACTAAAAAAAATCCTCTAATATCTAAAATTTTCTCAAAAGTCCCTTAACTCTTAGAATTTATCAATAATAACGAAAAATCACTTCAACCATTAATTAATAATAATAATAATAATTATTATTATTAATAACATACAGTATTAATCGTTACATATATTAAAAAAAAATTGGTACAACAACAAACTAGCAATTAATTTTTGTTTGGATATAATCGTAAAAATCATTTTTTTCGGAAGAAACGATTAATTTTATGAGAAGCCATTTAAATTCAAAATCGCTTTTGATTTTAATCAGAAACTACCAATATTTTTTCCCGTGTAAAATTATCTATTATAAAGTACATTGTAAAAAAATGGAAAACATCATTGAATATTTTTTTTTTTGCTAAAACTTTAGTTTGGTCCCTTATAATATTTTAAAATTTTAATTTAGTCTCATTTTAATTTTTGAATTCTCAATCACATGAACACTCCTAGACGCATCGTAGGAATCACTGATGTGATTGAAAATCACGGGTGTGATTCTCACAGCTCTTTAACCACGTTTGAGAAATTTAGACGGAAGACAAACATTATTAGCATTTTTGACAAGTAAGACTAAATTGAACCCAAAAATTAAAATAAGACTAAATTAAAATTTTAAAATATTATAAGAGATCAAATTAGGATCTTAACCATTTTTTTTATAAGTTTTGAAAAGATGTAAGATAACAGATTTTCATAAAATAGTTCCAAGTCCCAAAGAATTCAGGAAATTAAAAAAAAAAAAAAAAAGCTTGTGATGAAAGGTATGAAAAAAGAAGAAAGACAAAACTAAAATTAGGAGTAAGATGCTAAAAATGGCATTGACAGACATGCTCTCCACCACCATTCCTCCCATTCTTCCAATTGTCCAGTCTGCTATTACTTTTAGGAGCCAAATTCGGAATCAATAGAATGATGAGCTCAATCTCTTTGCTCTCAACCATCTAAAGAAAGAAACCCAACAAACAAAAAAATTAAATAAAATAAAGAAAATAAAGTGAAGATTAAAATAAAAAAGAAAAATTAACATAAAAACAAAAAACAAGGACAAGGAAAAAAAAAAGAAAAAAGAAAAAAAAAGCCGGTTACTGGTTCCAACCAACCTTTTTGCTTTCCCTGTCAATCCAACAGCACCAGTTTCTTTCAAAATCTGAATACAACCCATTTCACATACCCAAATAAGGAACCAAAATCTGGGGAAAAGAAACAAACTTGGCATTGGGTTTTGGATTTTGATTTTTTTTTTTTCAATTTTCATTCCCTTTGTTTAATTTCCTCCTTCTTCTCCTCCAGAAAAATGCCTACTCTGAACAACATTGTGCATTGACAAGAGGATATTTTCCTCCTCATTAATGGGTGAATGAATGAATAGGCCAAAGGGTGTTTGTTGTTGTATGGCACGTGTGCGGGTGGATGAGGCAAAGCTAAAACCTTTGTGAGAAGAATGAACAAAGAGCTTACAGGCTTTGTGAAGGTTTGGGAAGCAGCAGTCAGGAAATCAGCTGGTCCAAAGAAGAGGTCAAACAGCATCTTCACACCAATGTCTGTTGCCCATGTTGATGATGATGATGAGTCAAGGCATGGGGATGGTGATGGGGTGTCACAGGTTGAGAAGATTCTCCCCAATGGTGACTTCTTCACAGGCCAATGGCTTGACAATGGCCCTCATGGGCAGGGAAAGTATCTCTGGACAGATGGGTGCATGTATGTTGGGGAATGGCAAAGGGGTGGCATCATGGGGAAAGGGAGGTTCAGCTGGCCTAGTGGTGCCACCTATGAGGGTGATTTCAAGGGTGGTTACATGGATGGTAAAGGCACTTACATAGGCTCTTCTGGGGACACCTACAAGGGTTGTTGGGTCATGGATTTGAGACATGGCCAGGGGACTCAGAGTTACCCCAATGGGGACTTCTATGATGGGGAGTGGAGGAAGGGGCTGCAGAATGGGCATGGGAGGTACCAGTGGAAGAATGGGAACCATTACATTGGCCAGTGGAGGAATGGTTTGTTCTATGGAAATGGGACCATGATGTGGAGCAATGGGAACAGGTATGATGGTTGTTGGGAGGAGGGGTTGCCCAAGGGGAATGGCACATTCAGGTGGGGTGATGGGAGTTTCTATGTTGGGGTTTGGAGTAAGGATCCAAAGGAGCAGAGTGGGACTTATTACCCTTCCGGCTCTTGTGCTGGCCATTTGGAGTGGGATCCTCAGGAGCTCTTCTCTGTCGACTTGGTTGATTGCATTGTTTCTGCTTGTGAGAAGGTGTCTATTTACCCTTCACAGAAGAGTTTGAGCATGTTGGAGGAGAGTAAGATGAGTAAGAAGGGCACTGAGGGTAATGGGAGGGCAAGGGGGATGTCAGTGGATGCAAGGATTAGTAATTACAGCTCTGAAGATGGCTCTTATGCATCCTATGATAGCTCAAGGAGTCCTCAGGTGAATAATTCTGTTCCAAGAGTGCCACATTTGAGGTTGAAGCCTCCAAAAAGACAGGGAGAGACTATATCCAAAGGCCACAAGAACTATGACCTCATGCTTAATCTGCAGCTTGGCATCAGGTACTGATTGATCATAGCTGTTTTCCTGTCAATTCAGTTTGTTTTCTCTCATAAAGTTAAACATTTACAACCTCTTTGGATACAAGTGCTTCTCAGAGCTTGCTTCTTTAATCTTGACCCAAAAACTCCCAAAATCACTTCTAACTTGTATTCAAACAAACTCTTCGCCTTTTGTTTTTGTTTTAGTAGTAGATTGATACCTTGTATCTTTCTAGGATATTACGAGGATTTAACTTACTTTAAGTGTCAGTGATTCTATGGTTATGGTGCAATGATGATGAATATGGCGTTCTGGAAACAATAATTTCATTTTCTTCCATGATTCTAATTTTAACTGCGAGGTTATTAATTTCTTGTGCCATAGCACAGACATGCTGTTGGAAGACCTGCTCCAAGTACTTCTCTTGATCTCAAGTCTTCTGCATTTGATCCTAAAGAAAAAGTGTGGACTAAATTTCCACCAGAAGGATCCAAGCACACGCCACCTCACCCATCTTGCGAATTCAGATGGAAAGACTACTGCCCGGTAGTGTTCAGGTAAGATTTTGATCAAAATCTTCTTAAGTCCATCAAAATTTTGTGCTTTAATTAGGTGACCCGTGTTTTGAATATGAATCTGCTAACTTGTTGAGTGTGCTCTTGTAAATTTATATCACAAAGAATCTAAGGATCCTGATGGTTTATTATATGTATATATGCAGGGCTCTCAGAAAGTTGTTCAAAGTAGATCCTGCTGATTACATGATATCATTATGTGGGAATGATGCCCTTCGAGAACTCTCATCCCCTGGAAAAAGTGGAAGCTTTTTTTACTTGACCAATGATGACCGATACATGATAAAGACCATGAAGAAATCAGAAGTAAAAGTGAGTTCCCTTTTAGTTGGCTAGACATAATATAAGACTTAAGGTTTTGTAATCCTCCTAGCCATACACTTTGCTCACCTTGCTTTTCAAAAGTTAAAAAGTTACATCAGTAATCCTTAGTTTTCAAAAGTGGATCAATACTAAGCATTACTAAAGAGCAAGAATTACATTATATTCAGAGACTTTATCATAACCTTTGCATCAATGATTGCAGGTTTTCTTGAGAATGCTGCCTGGTTACTATAAACATGTTCGAGCTTTTGAGAACACTCTAGTTACCAGGTTCTTTGGCCTCCATTGTGTTAAGCTAACAGGAACTGCTCAGAAGAAGGTAATGCTGAGGTTTGTATACACATCTACTTTGACAAAAATTTATTATTGATTATCCTTGATAAATTTCAGGTGCGGTTTGTCATCATGGGAAATCTGTTTTGCTCACAATATGCCATCCATAGACGCTTTGACTTAAAAGGTTCAACCTTCGGTCGCACAACTGACAAACCTGAGTCAGAAATAGAGCCTACAACAACACTCAAGGACCTTGATCTAAATTACATATTTCGGTTGCGGAAGTCTTGGTTTCAAGAATTCTGCAGGTACTTAATCACTTCTTGGCTCATCCATTGTGCGTGTACTATGTAGAAAACTGCACTACATCAGCTTTTGAGTCTGTATGGATAAACTTTTCCAAAAGTATTTCTAGAAAGAAAAAATAGGAGGGAAAAATGAAATATGTTTTTCCGTTAAGTTAAAATTAATTTGTGCATAAGCTAACTTATAAGAGTTCTTTCATATAACTTCTCCAAAAGTTTACAGATAAACTTATGTATAAGTTAGTTTTAACTTATGGAAAAGTTTATTTCATTTTTTCCTTCATATATTTTCTTCAAAGAAGTGTTTCTAGAGAAATATATCATTAGCTACTATTTCAAATTGTCAATGGAACATGGGTATGCTTTCTAACATACCTTTATGCAGGCAAGTGGATAGAGACTGTACCTTCCTGGAACAGGAGAGGATCATGGATTACAGTATGTTGGTAGGTCTTCACTTCCGAGGAATGTCGTGTAATGACGCTGTTACTCCTCCTGGTTACAGTCCGGGCCCTCAAACTCCAACTGGTTATACTTATATCTTGTCTTACATGGACTTATCTTAATTTTGTTTTCAACATGAATTCTTTTCTGAACACATGAGCTTACATTGCAGGCAATGGTAACTTTGATGATGGAGCCCCTCGTCTTTCTGGCGTGGATGTGGATCATCTTGTTGTAGATCCTAGTCGGTATAGTCTATCAACATATCATGACAGAATTTCCAAATTTTCAATAACTAGTTCTGATAGATAATAGCCAAGTTGTGTTGTGACCAAATCAACACACTTAGTTTTGCATTGCAACATGCATGCAGCAATGCTTATTCTGCACATGGATTCTCTTAAGTCAGGAATGGTTGCATTTTCTGAAGATATTTTCCCTGTGTCATGTTTCAGGTGGATTCAATTAGGTATAAACATGCCGGCGCGGGCCGAATTGACGTTGCGAAAAAGTTGTGACACTCCTCAGCTGGTTGGAGAACCAACAGGGGAGTTATATGAGATTATCATCTTTTTCGGAATCATAGACATTTTACAAGACTATGACATTAGCAAAAAGCTTGAGCATGCTTACAAGTCATTCCAATATGATCCAACATCAATCTCTGCGGTTGATCCAAGGCTATACTCAAGACGGTTTCGTGATTTCATCTTCAGAGTTTTTGTAGAGGACTAAACATTCAAGTTGCAGTGACAGCACTAACCAGCACACTGATATCCATGCACAGAATGGCCTCCAACAGACTAGTTGGAGGGTATTTTGTGATAATAGACAAGAGGGGTTACATGTTTCTGAAATTTGTTCATCTTCACCCCCTTACAGTTTGTGAATTTTATATGAATTATATAGTCACAGCTAATGTATGTTGTAGTGTAGATCAATGTTGTTCAGAGTTACTCAAGCTTTTTTTCCAATTGTAAATGAATCAACAGAAAGGGTCAAACAACATTGGAAATTATTCTTTTTGTAACTTATTTTTTCTTACATCAATATAATATCCCAGGTGAGCCTCTGGGGTCTCAGCGCTGAATAAAAATTAATGTATAGAAAATGAGGTGAAGGGTATTTAAGATTTTTGTGTACAGAAATGCATGGATCATCCTTATCACCTTAGGAAGGGATTTGATAACTTAACTAACACTTAATTGCATGCCATGGTCTTCTTTGTGACCCTTTAAGAGTAAAACACATGGGTTGATGAAAGTGTATGTCTTTGATACTTTAGTTCTTGAAAGTAAATAATTTTTTAATTATCTTTGAAAATTCTAATTGTTTTTATTTAAATTCCTAAAACTAAAAGTAATGTCCTCCTTTCTAACAACAGTTTCATATGATTAAAGAACATTTCAATGTTTCAACAGATTGGTAAAAGAGATATGAAGAATTGTTTTTTAGCTATTTGGAGATTCGTAAATCTTGATATTTCTTTGTAATGGCTAAGTTGTGATGAACAAAATTTTGTTAAGAACCAAATTATTTTAGTGCTTTTGCTTGTTTGAAGTGGGTAATTCTTCAAGGCAAGGTCACGAGACAACATTGCTTGCTGAATTTTTCTTAGAAACACGAACCTGCTCTTCTGTATTTGCACCCTATGTGTACCTTTATTGAACTATTTATATAGGGGGACGTGCTAGAGTAAGACCAACATTGGTGGTTTCTCACAACATAGTTTACAAGTGTTTATTTAAGAGAGAGAGAGAGAGTGTGTCATCCCCCTATATGGGTTAATATTATTATTATTTTTTTGTATAATTGGAAATAGCTTTTTAGCACACTGCTTAGATTAGCTTCAAGGAATTTTCTAATTCAAGTATTTTTTTTTTTTTTTTATGTTTATCTTTTTCTTGGTAGAGAAGTAAGGGGAATAGAGAATTAATTTTCCATCACAAATGTACATCCTCTTCTTCGGTGGTCCAAATTTTTGGGTGGCTAGGCCTAAGAGTCTCCTCGCATATTTGTTCACGTCTGCATGCATGTCTCACTCTTGAGAACTAGCATCAGATAAATTTAGGTCTCTTTCATAATTTGTTTTTAAAAAAAGCCTAATAGCATGGAAAGTAGGTTTCTAAAGGATAAGGATAAGATATACCAAGAAAATTCTATATAATAAATAATTGAGTAATTTTTTTAACAACAACAAAGATCATAGTTAGAATAAACTTTAACAAATTACTCAAAACTCTTTCTATTATTAGGTCAATTTTAATGGATATATTTATTTTTATTATAATTTTATTGGTGTAAAATATCTATTGACTTTGTTTATAATTAATCCCTATTGAAGAATTTGATTAATCACTTTAAGTCAATTATGTTCGTACAATAATCACGTTTTATTTCTATTCATAATACTCAATCCAAAACTTTACTTAGACATGTATCATTTGAAACAAAGACATACAAGTGATCCTAATGAACATATACATAATTGAGTTTTTTAAACATGTTAATTATAATTCAATTTATGTTTGTATATAAAAAAGTATTTTATTAGACAAAATATTTATGATTTATATGTCTCGAAATATATGTGCTTAACTATTAGTTAGAAAATATCTTTAAATATCTTATAAAACACACTCGTACAATAAATTAAATTAATTCTTCTCGAGATTTTCTTAAAATTATGCACAATCTTTTACTTTATTAATATTTATAGTAACTGCTATTATAAAAGTATACCACGTAACATTTTTGAAACAATTAAAAGATATTAATATATATATATATATATAAAGCAAATATGGAGAGAAAACTGCTATTATAAAAGTATACCACGTAACATTTTTGAAACAATTAAAAGATATTAATATATATATATATATATAAAGCAAATATGGAGAGAAATTTGATGAAACTTAGTTTAGTATAATAAACTCTAATAACTTAGTTTAGTATAATAAACTCTAATATGTATAAACTATTCATATAAAAACTGTAGTTAAGAGGAGTACCTAGGTAGGTTGAATATGCTAGCCGTGCTCATTATTGGGTAGCTGAGAATTGTATAGAAGCATAGAACATAAAGGATATAGCTATTAATTCCATGTTTTGTACAAAAGAGACAAACAACGAGACATACACGCATAACTACCTAACCACGAAACAATGAAAAACACTAAAACATAATCACGGGTGTTCATGGATCGGTTTTTTCAAACAAATCGATCTAAATCGAACCGAACCGTTTTATAAAAGTGGATTGGTTAACCGATCCATTTTTTATAAGGTAAATCGGTTTGGTTTTTTTAAAATATGGATCGTTTTTTTGAAATTGAATCGATTCGGTGCGGTGCGGTTATCCACTTTTTACTCATATATGGATCGATTTTTTTAAAAAATCAAATCGAACTGAATCGACCCACTTTGTAAAAATGGATTGGATAATTAAACCGATTTTATAAAGTGGTTCGGTTCGAATTTTTTTTCCAAAATGGATCGGATTTTTCAATATGGATCGGTTCGGATCAATTTAAATTTTTTGCACACTCCTAAACATAATGGATGAAAGGCTATCTAAGATCGAGAAAACTAGGAAGACAACCAATAAAAATATGGAAGCCAACAACACTAAAACAAAAAAGGACCTCAAAGATTTCAAGAGTGAATTTACATTGATATATCAGCCGTTTCTATGTATAAAAATCAAATATATAATTTATTAAGATTACTAAAAATAATTTAATTAGTTAATTATAATTAATAATATCATAATTTGAGTTTTTATTTTAAAAATACCTATAAAATAAAATAGCATATGTAGTAGTTATATTTAATGACATTAGTTAAAAGGATAATTTTTTCACCTAATAAGCATGACTTATAGTGTTAATTGTCCAATATATAAATACATTCACTTTTATATAAAAAAAATAGTAGAAGATTTATTAATAAATTAATAATAAATTAAGAATATAAAATATAATTACCACTTAATACATTTAGAATTAGACCCGTGTTTCTTACAATCAAAATTAAAATAAGACTCTCATTTACTTTTTATATATTAGAATGAAGGTAGTTTAGCTTTATTAATTTTTTGTCCTTTTATTTTGAATTCATGCAACATTTTTTTTATCACTAATTATTTGATTTAAGGGAAATCTTAGATTCAAGTTTTGTAGATGGAAAATAGTTGGAAAAGGAGACCATATTAAAGGTGACCAAATAAATATTTCAATTTGATAAAATTAAATATTAGTAAATACCCCTTCAAAAAAAAAATATTCGTAAATATTTTACCCCAATAATAATAATAATCCAAAATGTAATTTTTGAATCCATTCCTAATTAATTCCGAAAATTAAAATAATAATGAAAGAAGAGGTTGTCACTGATTAATACTACTTGAACTATTAAAGAACATCTAAAAGAACTTGAGCAAAATTGGAAATATAACTAATTAAGGTCTGTTTAGATAAATGTCTCAAAATTAAAAGTACTTATAGAAAAAATAAAAAGAAAAAAATAAGCTTTTTTTTTATGAGAAATAATTAATTTATACATAAGTTACCAGGGCCGGATATTATTGAGGCTAATGCCTAGAGCTCCTAAACTTATAAGACCTCCAAATTCTTTTAATAGTAGTATTATTTATATAAATTAATCTTTTTAAATTAATAATATTTGAGATAAGGCCCAATATTTTATAAGACACATATCTTACATTTTTTTATATCTCTTATTTTTTATTATTAAAATTACTTAAAAGATCACAACTCATTTATTAGTTTTTGTAAACGAAAAGTCACTACTACTTACTTTTATCTTTTACAGATGACAAATTTTCAACCTCTTTGTTTCTTCTCTAGTCTATCTCTTTCTCATTCTCTCTTGTTGGGAATATGCCTAAATATCTTTAGAAGAATAAATTAGTTTTTGATAAGAATATTTTATTTATATTTCAAATATTTAGATTTAATCTGTTTTGATTATTTTAGGATTTGTTTCCTTGTTTTTAGAATAAGATAATATCAATATTTGATTTTATATAACAAATCTTTGCTATAAATAAAGACCTCGTGAATAAAATTATATTATGCTCCTCTGATAAAAATAATTCTTATAAAGTATCCCCTCAGACATATACCATAAAATAATCCCATCATCTCTCCATTCTCATTCTCAATTCTTTCTTCTCGTCTAATTTGAGAGCTTGATTGGGAGCAATACAGTCCTACTCTGCCTTTTTTCTTGGTTGATTCATATTCTGTAAGATCCTTTAAACTACTAAATTAGTGTAATTTTGGGTGCTGGTTCAATAACATCAACACATTTTCTTAGTTATCACCATTGACAAACCATTGTACTGCACTTCTTGCATGATATTGCATTGACAAACCCTTCTAAAATATTGTAAATTACTTATTAATGCATGAAAAAAAACAATTTAGTGCAGTACTTTTATTTACAAATTATAAATTTTAGATCTCATTTTTTTATTGTTTATCATTGTAGGTGCACGCAAAGTGATTGTCACTACGGTTTCGGTTTTGGATACTTATAGCTACGACAATCGGATAGTGCATAACCATAGCTTAAAGAAATTTTCATTCACAGATATAATTTTTCACTTTCCAGGTTTTATTGTTTCATTGTTATCTTTTTTTAATTTTAAAAATTAATTTTATTATTATTTTATTTTAGCCAATCAATAAAATATGTCAAATAGAAAGTATGTATCTGGTTTTGAAAAGTTAAAAAAAGAGAAGAATTGAAAAATTAATTAAATCTCAACAAGGTGCTCTTCATAAATTTACTGTACTATTCGTATCGCAAGTCGAGCTCTAGCTCGGCATCATAGCGCAACTCGACCTCGGATACGCGCTAGGCAACATCGGCCAAGACGAGGTCTGTTACCTAAATAGGTCGTAACCGATCTAAGGTCCAAGGCCCAATGAAACCCTAATTCACACAAAGGTACGTGCATTACTTATACGAGACTCATACATCCATAAACACTAACTTTAGCA